GGCCATAATCTACAGCAAGTTTTCTTCTTAAATTTGGTAGCTCTTTTTACTTCACCTTGCTCCCCAGCAGTCTTGTTAGGCTTCCCAGTCCCTGTTGAAAGAAAGGAAAACTGTAACAGTGCTGCCAGCACCATGCTTGATACTAAGGATGGGGCTACCTGAGTGATGGACTACACTGTACTTGGTTTGCATCAGAAATAATGTTCTTCCATTTTTGTCTTGTTTCACCACCAAACCTTTTGCCACAGGTTTGCAGCATCACTTTTGCTTTGTGCTTTGTTGCAAATCTAATGTGGTATTTGAGATGTTTGTCTTCAGATCCATACAAGTTCCCATTGTGGACTTAATAGGATAGTCTTCACCTGTGGTCATTTATTGCCCACTTCAGCCATTGAACTCTGTAACTCTTCAAAGGTCACTGGTGTCCTTATAGTGACATCCTTGAACAGTTTCCTTCTTGCACTGTTGTTCCATTTGGGGGAAGAACGAGATCTGGGCAGTCTGGGTGCATTTCACTTCTTAATTATTGACTACTCCATGCTCAAAGAGAAATGAAGGGTCCTTGAAAAGTTAGCATACCCTTCCTTTTCTACAACTTTGTCCCCGAATTGTTTTGAAAGCTCCTTGGTCTTGCTTGAAACTGACTACCTGACTGAGAGACCAGAAAGAGACAGATGTAATTAATTTGTAAACCTGTGAACCACTATTACTGCACACAGACAGAGGTCATTCAACTAATTGTGTGGCTCATTAAGGTAATTTTGTGCACCTGAACCAATTTAGGTTTCATATAGCAAAAGGGTGAATGCTTATGTAATCAACATATTTTAGTTTTTGCTTTTCTTTGTAGTTTTTGCTGACATTTTACTTCTTTCACCCTTGAACGTGTTCTGCTTGAGTGTTCAAGTTCTGATTAAAATATTAACTTGATAAAACTAGTTATCAGTGGTGGCAGTAATGTTACATGGCTGCTTCTCAACAGAAGGGACTGGGAATCTTGTCAAGACGGAGGGAAAAAACTCATGGAAAAAAACACAAGGCACATTTTAGAGGAAAGCCTGCTTTAGATTGCTGAAAATTTAAAATTGGGATGAAAATTCACCTTTCAAAAGAACAATGACACAAAGCACTAGGCCACAATTAAACAATACCCTATCAAGAAAACAAATGTCCCAGCCAAAGTCCTGACTTAAATCTGATAGCTAATCTGTGGAAAGACTTAAAAATTGCTGTCCATCAATAATCCCCAACCATTTTGACAGAGCTTGAACAAGTTCACAAAGAAGAATTGGTGAATATTGGAGAGACTTATGCAAAAAGACTAGCAGCTGTAATTGCTGCCAAAGGTGCTTCTACCCAGTATTGACTTTGGAATATGAATACTTAAGCAAACACCATAGTTTAGTTTTTGATATTTGATTATGACCCTTGTTAATATTTTACTCCTTTCACCACCAAAGTACTCATTTTTTGCAATTAAGTTGGATTAAAAAGACTGATTTTTAAAAATGTTTACACATTATCTATAATGCAATAAAAGGGGACTTCATAGGACAGCTTGTGCACATAACAACTCCATTATATAAAGAATCATATGAAGACCTAATCTGACCTTTGCTAAAAAAAAAACATCATTTATATCTGTCTCACTTTAAATTAACCTATGAGGTCTATCTTCCAGCAAAGGCAGAACATAAGACAAAAGCACATGAAAAGTAATTAAAAGTAGATGTCAATAAACGGGGTAACAGACTTAATCCATTACATCTGCTGTCACCAAACAAAACGTACACCAAGATCTAAAGGTAGATGCGTGCTTTTTTCATCTATCCATTTTTAGTTTGCTTAATATGATAAGGTTCAAATTAATGATACCATATGTAAAAATATTTAAGCAGAAAGACACGTTTTTACAAACAAGATAAATATACTCATAATATACCGTAGTGACTCATTTAGAGAGGGCCCTGCAAGTCACAGACTAGGAAAACACACGGAAAGGCAGAGAGAGACACACGCAGACATCTGTTCGACACACGTGAGGAGAAAAAAGGGCAATAAAGGCTGCTCCCCACTTCCACAGAGGAGGAAGAGTAACAAGGGAGCCTAGGAAAGGGAAGAAAGGGAGAGGTCATGGGACAGTCCAATGCTGGGAAGTGTGGAACACTACAGTACTCATAATGAATATATCCAAAATCCGACACGGAGTCCAGAATATCAGTTTAAGTGAAAATAAGTTTACGTTTCAAAGTACAGAAATTATAAACTGATTTCCCATAACTTTGAAATGATAATTACATGCTTACAAGCACTCTATATACTGTATGTAAAACTGGTGCATTTATAGCTGACCAATCGATACTGATCACTAAATAATATAATACTAATATTACGTGAAGAATACAACATCAGAGCCTAATGAAATCAGATATTCCTAATGCACACATGGATACAACGTCTGGATATTAATCCAGTCATAGTGCTACTACCACTACTTCTAATATTTATACAACAAATAATAAGATAACAGCTGAATTAAGACAAACACAAGGCTTGAATCACCGATGCATTTCAAACATTATACATTATGTCTGAGAAGATCAATTCCCTATTAAAAAAAAACAATAAAGCATTTTATTGGCTCAGTTAAAAGGGTCTTAACTTTTAAAGTAAGATATCACCGAAAAATTTAATTATACATTATGACTTACTTCACAGACCATGAAACACATAATTATAGTTTTATACTAAGATATACATTCGAGTACGCCTTTAGTTTTACGTTTGAGAAATCAGAACTATAGCATACGGTATACCAAGTAAAAAATAACTATATACCTCTACAGTATGTACAGTGCATCCTATTCAACTCTCGTTCGCCCTATGCAGAACTCTTAAGTTTTCCCCAAAAAACCTTAGGTGTCTGCAACGAGTTATTTCATTTACTGGACAAAATGTGTGGCGAAAAGGCATTAAAACTACAATAAATGTGTCAAAAAGCCTAAAATAATATAACGCACACCTGTAACCAATGGCCTGTTAATTCTGAACTCACTTCGTTGAAAGGCACTGGCCAGTCAAACAAACAAGCATAGCAGGGTCTCTCCAAAAACAAAACAACCCCCCAGAAATAGTCATCTTACTCACTGGCTCTATAGTTTGCTAGACTCGCTATATGGTTATATATGTGCCAGTTATTGGGAGTCGAATCACAAAAAGAAAACTGGAAAGCGAATCACAGTATTAATTATTTAATCTTATTTCATACGCTAAGGACCCTCAGGCACTTACTAAAGACAGATCTGCGCTTGCCTTATGACGTCATCCAAACGTGACCCGGACCTGGAGGGTGACGTGCGTCCCGGATGTGGATGGGACTTATGCATGCGTCTCTGTGAAACATGCTAGGGACAATATTGCACTGGTGCAATAGAAAGTAAATGGGATCCGAAAAGAAACAACAACAACAACAAAAAACCCTAACAAAAGGCAACATCTGGATGTACAACTTTATTTTGTTGGATGCTGGTCAAAATTGGAATTGATTATGGTGTTTTAAAGCAAAAATAAAGCCGCGATCGGACAAAAAAGATTTTTAAAATCCTTTAAATTATATATTTTTTATTTTTTATGTTTGTTATTGATAATATAAAAGAGACTGATTTGTTGTGGATTAACAAAACAAACATAAGGTAAACAATTTTGTAGTTGTTTATAATTATTTTTTTACTGATCGTGTGTTCTGTGTAAATTTGACACTCCAAGGAACTATTTACTATTTATGTTCTTTATTGATGCGATCGACTGCGCGATGAAACCCGGGTCTTAAACACTACTGACGACTCCAACTAACTTGCTTAAAAACTTTATTACCATGTGTAGATAACAGAATTTATGTGAACTGATTCGGACTTAAAAGAAATAAACACGTGAAAGCTCCCGATAATGCCGATTTTATGATTCCGGCATTATTTTGCTGTCTTGCCGTTGTATTGATATAATCCTGTCACATGTGGTAGCGACTTCAAAGTTTTTGAATAGTATTGAGTGTTAACACGTTCCTCAGTTGATACACTGTTAATAAAAATACTAGGACTATTTATGTCGGTGATATGATTGAAACCTCCACATTCTGTCTACATAAAATATTTGCAAGACATCCAAGATCATTTAAAACACGAATAAGCACTTTACCGTATCCATATAAATTGTGTGTTTAGAAACACATTTTAGAATGAAGTTGATTCAATAGGATGAGGCAATTTTATCCCTTTTGAAAACCTGCGAATGATCACAAGTGACTAGTAGTGAAAGCTGTTTAGAACATTTCAAGGCGTGTTGTCACATTTAAATGACGCAATTTCAAATAATTTTGCTATTTTCATTTTATCCCATATAAATCAAGGTAGGTGAAGAAAAAAACAAGACAACACAGGGACTTAATGGTACCTACAGTATAGGAAGTTCTGTTTTTTTATTTCGTGGCGATTAACATTCTGACTCCTCTTTTCGAAAAAGAAAGGCGCGCTAATTTCTTTACAATTTGAAATCCCGGATTTTTTACTGCTTGTTTCGTGGAGCCGGGAGATGTGCAGAATTTAATATTGGTGTGGTCAAATTGTGTAAAATGTTGGTAACGGTAGATTCAAATTCCAGCTCTGTCTTTGCGCTTTCAATCAATAGACACAACACTGCGTTTGTCTTCCAGGCTTCTCATTATAAAGTACTTTCTTTTCACTGCCTGCCAGTTAGTTTTGTTCAGAGGATTAAAACAAACTATCTGTTATTTCATTTAACCCCCTCAAAAAGGTACACCGCTGTTAAAGTTTAGATTTTAGTTCAGGCGGTCGAAATAGACGTCCTCGGCAGAAGAGATCCCAATAAGATGATTTTCTTTCACGTTCTGCTCTTGCTTTTTTCAGTGAACCGCTGGCAGCTGCAGTGTGAAAGGTATGTGAAAGGTAGCTAGGTGGCTGTCCATACACATTCTTACTGTTTAGTGGCGCACATGGGCTATAAACTCGGGAGAATGGAAGCTTCAAATTAACAACCGGGGAAAATTTAATAAAAGGCCTGATACTTTTTGTGCACACATCAAGGATATTTACAGACGTAGAATCCTCCTTTTTTTTGTTTCAGTGCCTGCGTTAGCTTTTGTTACCTTTTCTTTTTTTTTAATGGGATTGTCACTTGCAGATCCCCCGTTTAACCTGCTGTTCGGGCGGGCTGAGTTGGACTTGGGAGAGAATTGTTTTTAATGTCAGTTTCTTCTTTCTGTACTGTACCAGTGGATTCATTCGTTTTATGTAAACCTCCTGTTGCATAATGATGCGCTGAGAGTGAATTGGTTTTAAATGCAAAGTGGAATCTTGCGAGTCGGGTCATCTGTGGATTTTCAGGAAGATCTCAGATAGTGATTAGATTTGCCTTCCAAGTCAGTCCGGGACCTGGTGTTTTCTGATTGCAATTTGTTTCCATGTTTTTAGGTCTGTGTGATTTTGCTAAAATGCATCACCAACAGCGAATGGCTGCCTTAGGGACAGACAAAGAACTCAGCGACTTACTGGATTTCAGTGCGGTAAGCAAATTCTATAAATATTATGACAGTAAAAAAAAAAAAAAGATCGGTTATTGTATATACTTTGCTAAACAAATAATTATATTGCATATATCTCTGAGGTAATGTTTAAAATGTTTATTTTGCACGTCTGTTTACTGTAAATGTTTTAATGTAGAAAAATAGAACACTTAATGTGGATAAAACTGTTTTCCAAAAAATGTACAGAGAAATATGATTTTGCATTAGTAATTTTGTTGTCTTATAGATGCGAAACAGCGATTTGAAAATGTTCCCAACATCAATGGTAGTATATCCTACTTTTAAGTATTTTTCTTGTTTTGTTATTTTTGTCGTTTTATATTAGATTTTCACTTGGTATTTTAGAGACTTGTGCATTAAACTTTCAGCTCATAGTAGTATACGAAGATTGTTTTAAACACATTAAAATAAGCCCACGATTTTACCATGAAAGGAATGCATGCAGTTTTACTGTTTATAGTGGATGTTTTTAAGAGATGATTCGTGATGTTGTACACTCTTAGTTTGCTCCACTAAGGAGTCGTGTTCGTCTTTTATGACTTTCGTATAGAAACTGTCTCGTATAAATAATGAATACAATTTCTCTTTTGCACGTAATACCTTGATGTGAACAAATAGCGCAACTGGGGCAAAGATTTCTCTGTTGAGAAATGCTTTTCGGAAGTTTGGACAGGAAATGTTGCCTTCGGCCATGTTTTTGAAATCCTTGCTCTTCATCAACTTTTTATTTATAACTTTCTGTATCGCAGGCTAAATAAAGGTTTAGAAACATCCCACCCTCGCCTTACATACAGAGTCTGGATTAAAGGGAACAACTATAATCTTACTGCACAGTTCACTCTTTTCAATGGATTTTCTTGTCAATTTCAGTGTAATGCGTGATCCCACAGTTTAGTGGACATGCCAAATTGCTAGGTGGATGAGACTGAATTTCTGAAGCTGCGAAACAGGAAGCCTTTTCATTGTAGCTTCACGATTAGGAGAGGATGAGTGCTGTAATATATATGCATGTTTTTATTCACATTTAAAATATAACGGTGTTTTTACTTGTTTAAGGAAGGAAAGGTGCTAATTGCTTTGATTAAATGCAGTTAAGAGTACAACATGCATAGGAGTGCAGAAATACTGTAATATTACATATTTGTACTGTATATACATGCACACATTAGAGCACATACTTTGCACTCTAGTGTTTCTTAAAAATATAACCTAAAATTATTGATAGAAAATTTTGAATGTAGTGATCTGAGAATTGATGTTTCCCTGTTTTAACATGTTCTTTGTTTTCTTTTAGATGTTTTCTCCCCCAGTAAGCAGTGGAAAAAATGGACCAACCTCCCTTGGAAGTGGACATTTCACAGGCTCAAGTATGTTAATCATAGTTGGCTTTATAAAGACATTGGGAAGGACTGATATAGAGCTGATTATATCTGATTCTTAATTGTGACCAGTTCAGGAAGCAGTAGTAGAATAGAGTTTATTTTTTGACATTTTAAATGTGCAATGTATACATATATAGAATACTCTAGATGTTGTTATAAGTGAATCTTTTTGGATGTTTTTAAAATGTCTGTCCTTGAAACATTCCAACACAATTGTGTTTTTAATTGATTTGGTGATTGTTATGCGAGTCGTGAGCGAGAATTATTGAATAGTGTTAGAATTAATGTTTTTGGGTTTCTTCCTTGCCATAGTTTGACTAATAATAAGAGCTGAAATGAAGGGACCAATGCTCTTTTATAACTTAAAGCTTCTTTTGTGCACTGTATTAAGTGACAGCAAGTTACTTGTATTAGAGCTGAACATTAATGATTAGTCTTAAGTGCAGGTGCAATTATATGTAGTACAAAGATAACTCCAGAAAATGTAATATACTGTACAGTAGTTGGAGCTGCTGCCAGCACTCTATACTGTTAAATTCTGGTATGGTATATTGTATATTTTGCCTTTGATTTACAGTCATTGAGCTGTTAAACGATTTTGCAGTCTATAACACTACTCGAAGAGTGGTCTGACATATTTGCTTCCAAAGTTAATAAGAAAATGCAACAAAATGATCACTATTACAACTTTTAAGCTAGTGAGTCTGGTGCCTAAAGTGTCTTTATGTTAATGTTTTTCTAAATGGTTTTGAGAAGCAAAAAAAAAAACAGAAACAAAATAAACATGTGAATTGTCTGTGCTCAAAACATCCAGAACAGAATGTGAATACGTCTGTTATTGAGATACTATGTTCTTATTTAAAAAAATACTTGTGATTTTATAGTAGAATCATCCAACCTTTGTGGTATTTACATGGAATTGTTGTGTTCTCCTTTGCTAAACTAACCCACAGTGTCTGCATATGCATTTAGAGTTAGTTTTTAGATTGTGGTTTTAGTTTTGTCAGGATGAGAAAATTATGTTCTTAAACGGTTTTGTTCGACACAACTGCAGACTAGTTACATTGTGATGGCTTCCAGTTTGCTTATTTGGTTTAACGAATCTGAATATTCTCGGTGAACTCCTTCTGTTGAGTAAAAGCAGGCTTGGTGGGGGCTGTAGATGTTGTGCCTGAGCATATGGATGTCTCTGTTGAAATATTCAGAGATTAGGATCATCTGGTGGATCATCTATCCAAATACAGCGATCTTCAGTGTTTAAAGGTTGGATTTCTATGTGGGATTCTGGGTACAAACACCAGCCCGTGATGTAGCTTAGAATACATTTTAAGAGACAAATATGCTATTAATAAACATTAAATTGTGCAAACACTTTGAGAGCAGGGTTCTTTGTCCTGTTTTTCCAACCTCTCTCTGTGCTGCTTTTCTGCAAATTGGTATTCAGTTTTTCAGAGACAGGTGGAAGGTGATAGCAACACTGGGATCCAAGCATTTTATTCCAGCAGTTGTCGGTGCAATGGACATGTTTGGGGGGCTTATGAACTCACAAAAAAATTAAAGTACCTCATATTCACTCAGGAAACAGGTTTAAATAGATCTAAATTGGAACTGGAAATTCAGCTAAAAGAGAAATATTAAAGTCTACTAAAGGGTTTTTTTTTCCATTTTGAAAAGGAATCACACTGCACGCAACCAGTAAGCACATTCCCTGCCAGGGTTTAGAATTGTGAATCTCGGGCACAGGCAGATATGCTGATCACATGCCATATTTTTGTTTTCTTAATCGGCATAGCTTATTAAGTCACAGTTCGGAGTAAGAATCTTTTAATAATATCCTGCTTTACTTGATGCGCTTGTATGGTGGCAGATAAAGTGGTCTATGCAAGCTTGTGTGTTCCTTCGCCTATTCATTTGAATCTGTTTTGGTCATGCTTGTCAGTCAATATGGACTGATTGCATTCAAAATAAAGATGAAGCGAGGGAACCAGTCACTTAATACTTTTTTTTTCCCTTTTGCTTCTCAGAGTGTGTGTTTGTCTTTTTCCCAGCAAGCAGAACAACTACAAAAAGCTGTGCCCTAATTGCACTGTGGATTAGATGTTAATGGGCATTTTAGCATTATTAGAAATATTATTAGTGTTATAAATAATAATCATCCACAACAATAAGAAGAATTTTAAGAGCATGTCTAAGTCTCCCATTTTGTGGGGCCACCCCTAGCAGGTTTAATTATATCAGTTTCACTCTGAGAACTGATGTGAGTAGTGGTGCGTGGCTTTTAAGTGAAGCGCTGCTTTTGCCTTACATAGTTGGAGGGTACCGTAAAGTAATAAGAAAAAAAAAATGAATTCAGCATCTTGGTTTTATTTGAATATGCTTTCCTTTGATCATCCCGTGGTTGATGTTTTACACGTTCCATCCCCATTCAACCTGCGAGCTCTGTTTAGAGAGAATGAACTACCATCAAAATTAATTTTCTGGATTAGCTGGAGACATCCAGATAGATTTAAGGAGCTCGATGTGAGGTCAGCGATTGCTGAAACAAAGTAGGGGTGTGTGAGGATGTCTTCTGACGGAGAGGGAGGGATGAATGGATTTGTTCAGATGCTGTATTGTTTTGATTGGCCCTGAAACCAGTAGGTAGCATGGTTGACATTTGATCTGCTGAGGTAAAATAAGGGGGCACATGTGATCTACTTCCAGCGTAAAGCCAGTTGCAGTGCTTTGGCCTGACCTCTTCAATCTGGGCGCTGTATGCTGTGTTTACACCCTTGTTGACTATCTTGTGCGATGAAACCATCAGGGGAAGGCCATATTCCACACCGGAAGAGGATCCTCTCCAAAAGCAGTTGACACTGTTTATTTTATTTTGAAAGCCTAGTGCTCTACTTAGGCACACATGTATTATTTATTAATGTATTTGCTTCTGGAGCAGTTTTGTTCTGTATTGTAACCCTTTCCCCATTCCCAGAGGAGTTGTTGGAGTACAAAACTCTATTCTGAGATCATTTGATTAGAAGCAGAAAATAAAATAAGTACATCTGCATTTCCTCACAGCAACTATCTGCTCAGTCCCGCGACATACTTTGAGGCTTCAGGTAACTTTATTCCTTCTTGCGAAGTTAAGCAGAGGGAGGGGAAAAAAATCAAATATCAGAGCTCTAATGGGAAAGTAATAAAACATGGTTTGTGACAGAACGGAGCATTGCTACCTAAAAAACATCCCTTGGATATTGTAGTGAGTCTTGTGAATTTTCCATAGGCATTCAGGGGAGATGAAGGGCTGACTTCATTTAGAATAAGTAAAATCAGGAGAAAATCCCTCTAACATCAGAATTAATCAAATTGATTGGTTGTGTTTAAAAGAGATTCTTTTCTTATCTTATTCAATCTATTTCTCCACTCGAATCAAAATTCTGTCCTTGTGTTTTAAATCTCATTTCTGCTTATTTGACAAATCAGACTTTTTTTCGTGCTGTGATGTAATCGGTGAAGTGAGTATCTTTGACCATACCAGATGAACCTGTATCCAACCGGGATTCCTGGAGTCTTACATACACAAAAAACCATGAAAACAGGTTGTGGTGTTTAAGTGAAAGGCTTCAAATACCTGGAGTGATGTGTGAGAAACGTATCCTAAATGTAACTGTTGAAGTAAAAAGTGCACTAAAAGTCCATATTTGCAGTGACTAGACATTTGAGCAAAGATATACATTTCCTGTTATTGCATTTGTGTGCTTATTGAACTGTAAACCACATAAACTGGTCATGTACATTCTGGTAAATTTTTCTCTGATTCCTTAGACACCCATAATTATCAAGCCTGAATTGTAGCTTTGGATATCTAAAACATATGACTGAAGGTTTGTACAGTCTGTGTAAGATTATACCTAGGATCTATCTTTCAGTAAGCAGCTATGGAAAATTGTGATTTTCTGATGCTGAATTTAGTAGCATATGTTAAACAATTGCTGTCATCTTGAAAAGAACAGGTAATCATTACCTTAGACCTGTTAGTAAAATTGATGTGTTCAGGTATTATTCTAGCTACATAAAATTGTTTCTCATGTTTTTTTTTTTCTGTTTCAGTTTTTCATGTGATTTTGGTGCTGGTGATTTCTGCTCAATTGCAGTTTGGAAAACAATTTGTAGTCCTAGTTCACAATTGTACCTGTTAGTGTAAGGTAAAATGTAACAAAGGTATAATTAGGGCAATTCTTTAGAAAAAGAAGGAAAAATGTCAATGCAGCTTGTAATTAACTTGATAGGATAAAAATGCACACTTCAAGATGGAGGTCTTGAATTAAATCACCATTCTTTTCAGGGTATTTTTAAAACATTTAGCAGTATAATAAAGTGAAAGTTTAAATTTGTTCTTTATTCTAAAAATACAAATCCTTGTATATACAAAATTTGTATATGGACCCTTTGTAATGACCAAAATAAGTTGTTTTCCCACTCACTTTAAAAAAAATATTTAGGTAATTCTGGGTTTTTCTTTAAAAAATAATAAAATACTTAGTATTTTGTTAAGGTGATATTTTGCTCAGATTATAAAACCCAAGTATTGTTTGTTTGGGTGAAGTTTGAATACCTGTTTCCCTGTTTAAGAAAAAAATGTCATCCAGTGGCTATGTAATGCCTAAATCTCTGCACTGGCAGTATGAATTCCTGTGTTTGTGCAGGATTATTTTTACAGCATCAAGACAAATCACCAAGTGATTTAGAAAAAAAATGTCTAAAATTACCAAACATATAAACACTTTTGACTGACATTGCAATAATAATAATATAATAATAAACTGATTTTTTATTATTTTTCATTTAGAGGTTTTTAATGTTGCATTTTGATATTGGAAAAAGCAAGCTGTCTTTTATGAGAAACATTGCACCGACCATAGTTCCACTGTCTATGACATACACGGAGCTGATTAACACTTTAGAGCTAACGATTGTGTTTTTAGTGAGGAAAGTCAGTACAGAAT